AACCTTCCACCATTACATTTATCCCATTGCATTATAATTGCATGTTTGGTTATCTTTTACACAGCTGCACTGGAAACTCTGGAAAGACAGTCTAAGTCTTGTTCGTCATTGTAACTGTGCATAGTGGGCAATCCATAAATGTGTCTTGAATAATGACCTTGCTTACATTTCTCTCTCCATCTCTTCTCATGCCTGCCACTTCCTTTCTCAAACAAAATGCAGCAGCATCCTTTGTAAAAGTAATTCTTAAAACGAAACTAGCCTTGTACATACAGTGAAAGTCTTTTTTCCCCTTTTTTATATTACTTGGATGTGTCGTAGCCTCTTCACTCTGACTATATATTCAGCAAGTTGACTGCTGTAACAAGATGTTTCTGTTTTATATTCCTGAGTGTACAACATCTGAAGCAAGTACAAGGTGACTTTGCTGTAACTCAGCAGTCTTCTCAAAAATGTCTTTTTCCCCCCTTTTAGGTTCTTAGAACGCTGTCATTAAGGGCTGAGAGGTGAAGATACATTAGATAAGAAAATAGCAGACAGGGACCCTGAAACACTTAAAGAAACCTCAGTCTGCAGGAAATCCTCATCTTGGCTCCAGTCATCAGAAAATCTCTTCTTTACCACAGGTGGGTCCTTCAACCTACATTTCTTTTAAGATTTTCTACACATGTCCTTCATAGGAAGGAAAGTTTTGTTTCTCTCTTATTGCTAAAATGTAAAAATACATAAAATTAACTTTCAAAATTGGAAAGATCTTACTAGAGTCCTTCTAAATGGAATCATTTTTTTCGGTAGGAAATACAACAATTTATCTATTGCCTCTTTGGGAATTCTACAGATGATCTATTTATTCTAAAGAAGTTTGCTTTAAATGATGTAGTCTGTCAGCAGCCATTTTGGTACTTCTGCATCTAGCCACTGAATCTCTATGAGCAGGAAGATTCTGTTTTTTTCTGGAAAAGGGGGCTATTCAATTTGTGAAAGTTGAAGCAGAGTAAAATGCATATTACTTTCAGTTACTATTGTCCCATCGTCTTCATTGGGGAGATAGCTTCAGCATAATAGAAGGTGTTAAAGAAAAAACATATGCAGTGACACTTGTTAGAGATGGCAAGGCAGACTTTATTAAGGACCATGGCCATAGATTCAGGGACCACTGCAATGGAATTTCACAATGGGGGATAGAGATTGTACTCAACTACTAATACAGCATGGGCAAGTCAAAATTTACTGCCAAGGACCAGGGTGGGGGTCAGTGAATAGAAAATTACCAAGAGGAAACATCAAGAGTAAGGGGAATAAAATGACCTAACAGAATTTTTGCTGAATACAGGCCAGAGAAAGCAGACATCATCTGAGGGATGGTGGAGGATGAGGAACCAATCAGCTATCAATGGTTGGGGGGTTATGTTTAAACTGACTTACCAAGGTTCTTGCTAAAACTAGATTTTACAAGGAAATGCATAGATGTACTTAGATGAAGGTTGAGGAGACTGACTAAAGTTTGATCAAGCAAAGAATCTTTGTCAAATTCTAGGCTTTTGGGTTTTTTTTGTGATTTGCTGACTTCTAGGAAAGCCACATCAGGATAATGGCACTTATTTTAAAAGTCTGCTTCGTAGATTTCTCCATATATAATTTGGCTATTTTTCTCTCCTCTGGGATATTTCACAGTAAGTTTGTTAATCTCCAGGGCGAGTTATAGATCTATTGCCTGAAAAGAAATGGAGCTTGGATTCAAATGAAGGTGATGTAGAACCATAAGACAGAGGTAGAACCATCTAAGGTCAACTTGCTATAATAAGGATTGTGGGAGGAGAAACACCAACCAAAGTCATTAGTTCAAGCCTTTGTTTAAAAGTTGCAACATAGTAGCAATACCCAAGAGAGTTTTCTGAGGGAAACAGTCAGCTTAAAGGTTTTACAGAATAGAAAATAGAAGATCAAACGTCAATTTTGTTCTGAGGATATTTCACTGTTCAATTTCTTGGAGTTAAGAGGAAGCTTTGGTTGTGTTAATCACAGAATCTCTCACATTATCAAACCGTGGTGCTTGAAATTGCAGAACTATTTATCAACATTATCATATTACTTGACTATTCAGTCTCTTGGCATAATTTATAAGCTTTTATAATAGAAAATTTTCTGAATCGATATATGTATACTATGTTTTCTCTATAATATTTACATTTTATCTTTTGAGAGACCAAAGCACTCTTTAGTCTCTGAGACTACTGAGGCATAAATCTGTAACTATACCTCTCTTCCACTGCTTTCATGATTTCTCACTGACACATCTAGAAATGTAGACCTCTACATTTTAAACAAATATGCTTGCCATTGATTTAGAATATGTCAGTGTGAGCTAATAATCTTTCATTTTATTATCTCTTTTCTAATTTTGCTGTTCTCTAGGTCTCCTAGGCTTTCTACCACTTACATCATTATGTTTTTGATCCCTCCTCTCTTTTTCTATTCTGATTACATAATTCGGCATTTACACTGTTGTTTCTACTTTCAAATCTTCTACCCATTTGTTGAAGAATCCCACTGCAACCTCTCCTTTGCTCAAGCTTTCATGGCCTCTTTCCTGAACTAACACATTTTATCCCTAAGAGGTCTCCATCTGTATACTCACAAGCTGAAATTCAGCCCATACCCAGGTTAAATAATTAGAGTTTTAAAAATAGCGCTTCTGTTTCTTCTACCAGTTTATAAAACTTTAGATGCATTTTATTACGTTAATTTTAAACTTAAGGGGAATAACATTTACACTGAAACCTCATACAATCAGTGCATTGTTCTCTATTTAGCAAGTACACAGTTGAATGTATCAGGAATGAAATGATTGCATTTTTAAAGGATATAGGTATGTTTATACATACTCACCTCATTAATTCATTAAAATTTATAACAAAATAACAATGCCTTAGAGTTTTCAGAACTTTGGAAGAGAAGTGGAAAAGGCAGAGGTGGCACTTTTGGGTCAATTCCTAGTTAGAAAACAACCCCCCAAATGAAGCTTTTCTGTCTGAAGATAAAATACACATCTAACATGTGATAGTTTAATGGAGGGGGCACCAGAAGAAGTGTTTCCAGACTATATTGCATTGATAAAAATGAGTAACAGTACTTTTTTTTCTTAAATCAAAATAGTAGTGTTCTTAATGGATCTCTTTCCTAAAGGGAAAAAAGCTGCCAAACTATATACAGTTTTATCACTGGTCTGGGGCATTATAGTTTATTTCAGCCAAATTAAAATAACAATTACTGGAAGAAATGCTAATAGGAGCACCCTTTCGCTGGTGAGTCCCCACTACTCATCATATGATTAAAACCCCTCCACTTCAAATTTTTCTATTGCAATGACTACTTGTACTTCAAAAGAACTTGTACAGTAATTTGGAAGAGCATATTCTGTTTATTTCCTTCATTTTCAAATTGTGTTCTTCTTATTGTTTTATCGACTCTTTTCTACAGTATTATAGCCTGGGTTCTACCTTTCTTTCCCTACTCTTGTTGGAAATAGTTTGTAGGTGCCGTATGATTATTATTATATAAAAGCCAGCACCATGCTTGCTGACAGGGGGACTTTGAGTTCCATTTTTTTGAGATTGTTGAGATGTTTCCATAATGGATTTCCAGTATAAGCTGCTTTATTGCTGACAGCAAAATGATCATTCCAAGCATCCTAACTTGCCATATGAAAAATCTCAATGATAATGCTGATTAACATATCTTTTGCATTTAAATTACTCTGTTTTTTTAAGAAGGGAAAATTATACATTTGGTGGGTTCTTTGCATAGTCAAATAAACATATATCAGGATGTACAATCTAGTAATTAGGTGCATTTATCTACTTGTGACACCACTGGAAAATACTCTGAATGAAGACTCTAGGGGCAAAATACTTCGACTTGGATTATCATTTCCAAACATGACCTTGCGTAGCAAAATGATTGCTTATGCCTAAACATAGGAAGTGTTCGCCTAAGTGCTTGGTTACTTAAGCTAGAGCAATGTATTTGAAATAAATCTTTATTTTTTAATAGTTCGTTCTTTATATTTTAGGGCTGTGTTTATCATATGTGTCATCATCATAATAGAGTCTATACTTTATTGGGAAAAGAAAAAGATACAGGGCTAGAGCATTTCTATTTTCCTAGAATGTAGGTATTTAGAGAGTATTTTAGTATTTAAAAGTACCTGTGTTGACCAATGTCCAAAGGAAGGAATGCTGAGAAATGCAAGATGTTTCAATGTGACATGTATTCCACAAACATAGAAATTAAGGTATTGAGGTTTTCAGTGAATACTTCACTTAGGATTAAGAATCATTTTTCTGTATTTTTTTCATGAAATTTTTTGGAAATTCATGGATGATCATAATATCTGCTGCTTTTTTCCAAACTGTCCAAATATTACTATAAATGTTTAGCAGTTCAGTGAATAGATTCATTTTATTATGTCTGTCAGCTTCATAGAGGTATGTGAAATAAAGGCCTGAACTAAACAGTAGGTCTCCCATGAGACAATACCACCCTCATTGTTCTAACCCCAGCAGACCCAAGTGTTCTAGATAATGTATAGGAACCTTGTTCTTTCTGACACCCTTATTTTCTGATCCACTTTTATGTAACAAATTTCTTTCCTTGATACCTCCTAACTTTAAATATAATAACATAATTGACTCCACTATGTTCTTTTCAGGCATATGTTTTAGCGAACTCCATTTTACTGAAGTGACAGGAAAGAAAAATTAATTTGTTCTTTAAAGAGGAGGGTAGATCAGAAGAAGAGCAGCTTTTGTTCTTGTGAGGATGGGAGTGGATGGGATGCCAGTCTGAGGACTCAGTTACTGTACATCAGAATGGTATGTCAGGATGTAGGGTGAGGGAATTAGATGCTTTAGGATAGAAGAAAGATTTCAGTAAGTGAGCGAGAAAGTTTGAAAACAGTCAAAACAAAGAAATTTTATCAGGTGTAATACTCTTTTCCATTCATGTCTTCGTAAAACCATTAGTTGGGGAAATCTCATCAAAAATTACTCAATAGTGCTATTGGAGAATGTGATATTGTGATATAATAAAAAATACATAGTTTTTTTCAATCCCCGCTTCCTGGTACATGGCTCTCCAAATCCTTGCAGTTTCTTGAGTGATAGAGATGAGAAGAGCATCTTTTGTTACTCATAATAAGCCCCTTTCAACTATACCTGAGTATATGATAAAGAGGTGACTCTTAGATGATGGGGGCTAGTTGCTAGAGGAACCAATCATGTGATTAGAAGGTTGGGACTTTCAGCCCCAATTTCCACCCTTAGGGTGTAGCAAGGGACTGAGGACTAAGTTAATCACCAGTGGCCAATGATTTAATCAAATCAACCATGACTAAGTAATAGAACCTCCATAAAAACTGTAAAAGAAAGTATTTGGAGAGTTTCCAGGTTGGTGAACACATGGAGGTCTTCGGAAGGCGTCACCATCCAGAGAAGGCATGGACGCTCTGTGCACACCCTGTATATCTTGCCTTATTTACCTCTTCATCTGACTGTTCGTCAGTATTCTTTATTATATCCTTTATAATAAACTGGTAAATGTCAGCTTTTCCCTGAGTTATGTGAGCTATTATAGCAAGTTATTGAACCAGAGGAGAGGGTCGGGCAAACTCCCATTTTACAGCTGGCTGAAGTATGGGAGGCCTGGACTTGCTATGGGTATCTGAAATGAGGGACAGTCTTCTGGGACTAAGACCTTAATCTGTGCGCTCTCAGTTAACTCCAGGTAGCTAATGTCAGAATTGCTCGATGTGCAGGAAAAATCCTCACATGTGGTGTCCGAAGTATTATGAGTAGAGGAAACAGGAATTTTTCTTTTAGAGGAGAATTTGGAATTTGTTTTATAAGTTTTATTTATAAATGCATACAGATCTGTTGGCAGGAACTGTTTGAGAGCAGGGTAATAATTTTATTAATCTGCATTGTGGGGATGATTTCTACTCACTGCTTATAGGTGTGGTTCTCAATTTAGTTGAGGGGGTCAAAGTTTGAAATGCCTAGAAAACACTTTCAAAATTAACATTAGAGGACACCTTCAATAAGATTCCATTCCAGTACAGTGGATAGGCCTGTGAATTTTCAAACTATTTTCCCTGGCGATTCTTATATGGATTTGTTATTGGCAGAGAGAGAGACACACACACACATGCACTTATCATGATGAACAAAAGGATGAAATATGCTAACGATAATTGTTACATTTATTACAGCTGAACATAGGTTTCTTTTTGACATTCAAGAAGCAATCAATATTTTAAATACATTAAATATATTTAATACAATACAATATTTTATAACATCTTTGACAGTTGTTTTAAGGAATATATGTAATATTTTATATAGTCAATTTTTATGTCATTACCTTTGGTTAGAGCTAAGTACATAACATTTAGTATAATTCAGTGACCGTGGCTCTAGGGGTGGGGAATGGAGGTAGGGTACAAAACAAGTGTTGCCTAAAGATTATTATATATTTAAGTGGTAGGTACAGTGTTTGTTATACAGCCTGAGAATTGCCAGCTAAAAAGTTATGTGGGTTACTTGCTTAAAATACAGATTCTTAGTCCTTATAGAATTAGTCCTATGGAATTAGAATTAAGTATGGGAATTTGAATTTTTCCAAGATCTAAGTTAAAATTATGCTCCATAAACTTTGATAGCTAACCTGCACCTGGAGAACTTCCAAAGAGTTTCAAACCATTATTCAGAAGCAAACAATTCAAAATATTACCTTTTATTATGAGCAGGAAATGTTGGCATTCAGTACCTTTGATTGAACTAGAGTAAACCTCTTACTTTGGCTTGTCTTCATTTGAAACTGTTCTACCTTGGCACAATACTCTGCATTAAAATAGAATAGTAATAACAGCAACAACAATAACAAAAAAGAAAGAAAAAGATAACCATTGCTGAGTATACATTGATTTATTCAACAGTTGTCTATTGAGTGACTAAAATGCACATAATGGATTCGTAACATTACAGTTGCATTATTGAAGGTGAAATGACTGGTATTCTACAGCACTTTCTTAATAGTAAAGCTTTATGGTAATTCATTCAATAAACACATGCAGAGTCCTTAATTTCCTTGATAGTTTAGGCTAAAATACTGTTGTGTTCATTGATTCTTCTGCAAAATCGCCTCAATAATCTTCTTCTCTGAGATAAGAGACTCAAGACACTCTTTGGATATTTGGGAATAATGGAATAAAAATATAATTTTAAAATTATTTGTTAATGTTAGTCCTAGTTGCCTATAAAAATATGTAAAGCGGTTTGTTGGGTACTTCACTTTCTATTAAATAAGAATTAAATCAGGACTTAGCAGAAGCTGATTTTAAACTCTAAATTTCCTAAGTAATTGCAATTTTGTAGACCTAGTCTCCTGCTATACAACTTTATGCTTTTATATTATATTTATGTTTATTATTAGAATAATATAGTTAGCATTTGAAAATTATCAAAAGACAAATGATTACATGACAACAATCTATAAAAATTATCACTTGGAATATGGTACAAATTTATGATATTATTTTAAAAATCTAACTTCATATCATATGTAATGATGCAGTACAGTACAATGCTTTTTAATTTATTAAAATTAGATTTTATATTATGATATAATTAATAAAACCTTTTGGGTACTTATTACAAACACTGCTGTGAGTTAACCAAATTCAAGCTATATAAATTGGAAGTGTTTTCTCACTAATGCTTGTAATAAATTTTTTTTTAATTTTAAGTTTTTTTAAATTTTAACATCTTTATTGGAGTATAATTGCTTTATAATGGTGTTAGTTTCTGCTTTGTAACAAAGTGAATCAGCTATACATATACATATATCCCCATATCTCCTCCCTCTTGGCGTCTCCCTCCCACCCTCGCTATCCCACCCCTCTAGGTGGTCACAAAGCACCAAGCTGATCTCCCTGTGCTATGCGGCTGCTTCCCACTAGCTATCTATTTTGGTAGTATATATAAGTCCATGATAAATTTATCTCAAAGTATTGAATATTTTATTTGACACTAAAATGTCATTGTATATGACTAAAGTAAAATGTGTTATCAAATAGAATGAACTCTTTAAAAGTAAAATAACTTTGAAAGCAAGTGAACACCTAAGAACCTTATTGGAAAGAAATCATTTGGAAGTAATAAATCATGGTTGTATAAACTCAAACTTGTAAGATATCACAGAATACCTATGCATGATGTTTTATCTACTTACACCTAAATGAAATACTCAAGAATAAATTTAGTGAAAAAAATTAAAAGCAATTAGAAATTACCTGGAAATAGTGAAATAGAGTTTTAAGGGAAGTGATCATAAAAGCTTAGTCATATGACAGAATATCTTAACTGATTAGTTCAAACATTAAGATAAACTATTCAAAGTTAGAGTAGCCAATCTATTGAAAGACTGAGTTTTTCCACTTTTCAACCACTTATATTACAGAATTTTAACAGTTTTGTGTTTCTTTGAAGAATTTGTCTACTGGTATCTGCATAATATGCAAGTTATGTGTGCTGAATTGTTGCCCTGAATTGTTAACTACCAGGGGACTGTTCAACATGCAGGCTTTCTAGAGGCTCCAACTTAACCATGGGAACAAAACCAGATATTAACAAAAAGTTATTGATCTGAAAGTTATGGTATAGTGTCCAAAATTCTTCACAATTTAACCTAGTAAAGATTAGTTGGGTTTGCCTACCCATCTTCCATATATTAACCTTCAGGTAAGAGCACTTCATTTTTCCTTTAAATAATGACTATCAGTCAACCTACCTGTGATCAGATAGCCTGACCATACCCTGGAATTCAAGAGGAAGTATTGGAATTAGGCTTCTTCAGTGAGAAGATACTCCCTTAGCTATTGTAATTAATTTATGGATGAGTAGATAATCTAAACCTGACTAATTAGAGCCTGTGGACTTAAATTGTTGATTTGACAAAACTGCTATAAGTAAAGCTTGAGACACCTAAGGTTATAGGAAGAAAGTCTAGAATTTCTGCCTGCCATCTTCCCATCAAGACAACATACTTAATAAATGGAGAAATAAAGCAAAGCAAAACACAGCAAGACTGAGTTCTGAATTCATGACTTAAGTACCTAAATCCACCTATTCCAGAGGTTAGAGCTATCTCTGGACTGTTCAGTTATGTAAGCCAATAATTTCATACATAAAGGTGCATTTATCACTATTGGATTGGAAAATTTTTTAGAAACTTAAAAATTTTGGTTGTCACACATTCATTATTCAGCATCAATAGTGTATATGGCTTAAGCCAGTTTGAATACTTCCTGGTAGTGTTTTTGTAGCCAAAAAATTTGATTAATTTCCGAAGCATCTGACCTATGCCTATTACTTTTATGCATCTGACCTATAATCAAATTGAAATAGACATAGTATTTGCAGAAAATACTATGTGGCTCGTCTCAACTGGGAGGTGCCATAAATAGACATACACACTGTCTTTCAAAGATTTAGTATGAAAAATATAAGTGCAATATCTCATTAACATTTGTATGTTGATTGCTCATTGAAATGACAGTATTTTGGATTTATTGAACTGAGTAACATTTATTATTAAAATTAATTTCAAGTATGTCTTTTTTTTACTGTGACTACTAGAAATTTTTAAATTACATTTGTGTCTTGCATTATATTTCTCTGGACAGAGCTTATCTAGAAACATCCTTTGAGTAGTTTACAAACTTTTTTCCTGTTCCCTTCTCCTATGTTCAAAATCCTAGGTCTTTGTGAGCTGCACTAGTAGGTTTATAGCACTACTTATATTATCTTTGGAGTACATTTGATCACCATTTCTAGATTCTCCTTGAGAACAGAGATGATCATATTGGTCAGTGTAACCCCAGCAGCAGTAACAGAGTGACCTACACGGCCATTTTTGTTTGTTTGGTTTTTAGTTTATTTGATGGTGAAGGGTTTCGCCTTTTGATAACTGGAGGTAGGGGGGTCTTAAACTCGAAGGCTTACAGATACCATTTAACTATAGCAAATGGGTAAGAGGCAGGATAGATTAGACAAGAGGACAATATAGAATCTCTAGTAAACTGGAGAGCAAACCATCCATCTGAAAGGAATAGTAGATACTTAGCCAACTTTCACCATGCAGGTGTTCCAGTATAATAATGCCAGATTTTCAAGTTTTTCAAGAGAAACTAAAAACCCACATCACTACTTCTTAATACTCCTTAAATATTAGCATTATAATCCAAACCTTTTAAAAATATTTGCCAGCAGAAGTACCTCTGTGGTCTGGATCTGGCGCACAGGCCACCCAAATGGGCCCTGGGGTTTTCCTTTCCAGAATTTCCCTTCTTTCTTTTAGAATTTTGTTACCTGTTTCAGATAAGGATTAATGTAAGGTAAAGTTACATATTAACCCCACATATTAGTAACAGACTGAAAAGAAAACCACAGGAATTCAAAGTTTCTGACTATCCTTCATGTTACAGAGTCTGCCACTCTCTATAATTAGGAGATGGCATTAATCATTAATTAGAAAAGAAACCCTAAGTGAACAGTGTGAGATATCCGTGGGAGATATCTCTCAACAAGAGTGAAAGATAGGGGAGTACAAAACAGATGTAGTGCACATCTCTGTCAGTCTGATTTAAGTAGCTAATATTCTATCTATGTAAAAACCAAATAAAACACATTTTTTCCTTCTGTGTATAGCCATATTTTCCCTTTCATCCTTTTCTTTTAAATCTTTGGTGATATTTTCTGTTTGAATGAGGTAGTCTGACCTATAGTACTCATAGGAGTGAAATATCTTCTCTACCTGCAACATCAAACACTGAAACAAAAGAGCAGTTGTACTGAGTTCATTGAGATTCACTGACAAGTGTTGCTCGCCTGCCGAGCAGGTGAAAGTTTCCTGCCGGCTTCTCATTTAGGAAAAACCTCTTGGCTTATGCCTCAAGAACTGTACAAGCCTCTAAAGGGTGGTAGTGAGAACTAGATACAGACTTTTTTTTTTTTTTTTTGCCTATAGAGATAGTTAAGTTATACAATGGAATAAGGATCAGAGAATTAATGAGGAAAGAAAAAGAGAGATGTGATGGACTTAGCAGTCTGGGTCTTTTTCTAACAAGCTGTCCTCAAGTTTTTTTCCCATCTGCCGTGGAGTTTGAAATACCACCTTGCTGGAGAAGTGCATAAAACAGAGTATGTTGCCACTTGTCTCATCCTTACAAGCCAGCTCCATTTTACCTTACATTTGAGGAGAAGTATTTGCACCTATTCCTATAAAATCATTTATTTGTATCAGATATTGTCATCAGATCTTGAGAAAGCCCCATATCAGATGTAAGCAATCAGGGATTGTCTGGATGTATTCAGGGAAAAGATAGCTGATTTTGGTGGAATTCATTCATTTAAAAGGTTAGAAAGAAAACACAAGCAAATTCTATTGACCTAAATAGATTAATTTTCTTATTTTAATGTGACAAAGAATGTGACCATACCCATACTTTCACTATTATTAAAAATAGCTAAATTTACTTGGTGCCGGACACAGGTGTAAGGGCTTACCGTAAATGAGCTCATTTACTCTTCCTAGCTTGAGGAAGGCACTGTTATTGTCCCTATTTTACAGAGGCTTAAAATGGTTAAATAATATGTCAATTGATCTCACTACCACCCAGCTAGTAATTGGTGGTCTAGGATTTGAATTAAATCTGCTCGGACTCCATAATTAACTCCATTAAATAACAACAGTAATAGCAGCAACCACTTGTAGTGCATTTACTATGATCCAGGATCTTTTCTAAGCACTTTATGTATATTAACTGTTTAATCACAACAATGCTTTGAGGTAGGTATTATTATTATTCTCATTTTACAGAGTGGGAAACTGAGTCACAGAAACATAATGTAACTTGCCCAGTTACCGCCAATAGTTTATTAATATAGATACAGCACACAAAGTAAAGCAAGCCTTTCTGCAACTAAAATCGTTAAATTTATAAGCTAAATAATAGTTCCTAGATGGTATTTCCAACAAATATTTGCTATGGAAAATGATTTTCTTCCTTTCACTCCAGCAATACAATTTGTGTATTATCAATATTTCTTGCTTTGCAAACTTGAAACCTGGTAATAATTACTTTGGTTAAACTTGTTCCTTTGCTTTTAATGTAAGATACTCTCTTTGTCAAGGTCCAACACAATTTAAAGACAAGTTACCTTTCTTATTGTTAAGTTCTAAAGATTCTCTTTTGCCAAATCGTTTTTTTTTTTTTTTGGTCCTTCCGTTGTTGTTGGTTACTGTTCTGGCCTTAAATTCCATCTGCTACTGTAGCTGTACGTATTGAGTTTCTCTTACAAACAATAATAATAAATTATGGATTATTATATATACACATATATATGATTAACTAATTACTAACAAATTTCAGAAATGTTTTTGTTGTTCAAATTAAAATTGATGATTAAAAAGAAAGTTCACACTCCCTAGAAGGCAGCAGGATAAGGAATAAATGATCCAAAGAATAGCAACAAAAATGGAAACTATGGATCTCATGGTATCTAATAGTTTGAAGTACATAGATTCATTTTCATGAAAGTAAATAAGTCAGCTGAAGGATTGAACTGGAGTGAGTAATATAGTACAGCAATGGAATTGTGTCCTTCTTTCCCCCCACTTAAAAATAATGATAGCTTCTTCTGGAACCTGCTTAAGTAAGTGACACTCATAGAGATGAATTGCTATGCTGTAACATATGGTGCTCTGGTATTGCGGTTGTATTGTTGAGATTATTACTAGCAGCAAGATTTTATAGTTATTGCCCTGTCAAAAAGCTCTTGTTTTAATCACTTTCATCAACACCGACTTCAGGTTGTACCTCATTTTCTATCCACAAGCCAGACCAGTGTGTCATCCAAAGAGAAACTCATTTGTTTGGGCCCATTTTTTCATTAAGATATATATTTCAGAGGGACGAGTGAAAGATGATTTTACGGGGAGGGGGAAAATACTCCCCTAGGGAGTAGAATTTAAGGACTGCAATTATTGATATGAGGAGGCATAATACTAGTTAGGTGGTGAAGAATCCCATAAGTCTGCCTTGGAAATGAGGGAGGACTGAGGATGCAGGTGTTCCCTCTTGTTCCTGAGAGCAATTAGAGATCCAAATTATTTCCACTGTTACCTAATAAGGCAACAAGTGCCACCTGATGAAGTTAATTCCCAGCACTATTAATGTAAACATTGCTCAGCTTCTTCAGTTCGCTGGCATTTTGTATATTTCACAGCTTCAGAGAAGAGAGAGGAAAGATGCAAGCCATCAGTAACTTTAAAAATCCCAAGTGAAGGAGAAAATGGAAGTGAGTTAGGGATCCTTTGTCATTTGACCTTTAGTTGTTTTACTATAGTTAAAAAACTAAAGTAAAATCAAGTAACCCTTTATATGAACCAGATCCCACCCTCATGTCACCCCCAAGGTTTTCAAAGCTAACTTTTCCTAGTATCGATTGTCAGTTTTACAAGGTAGAATACACCCTAATATTTTCATTTTGTTTTGTTTAGAGGGATACTAGACTATTTCCTCAAATCCTTTTCTGCCTCCAGTTTGAAATATAAATCTGGTTGAGAAGCTTTGATGGTGAAAAGTGTAGCTGTAGGGCTCTTTTCCCCTTTGTTTGTTACAATTGACCTCTTTCCCAGCACAATAGATTCAGCCTCAAACTTAAATTGCAAGGTGTTGTGAATAACGTGTACGTCACTTCAGGCTTTGCTGGTAGAGCTGTTCTTTCCTGGTGTCTCAGCACATAGCACCTCCTAAAAAGCCAAGAGAGACACATTTCTCATTTGCGGAGCACAGCAAGTCAGCCCCTTCCATATGCTCAAGATTTGTGGCTCGTGTCACAGGCAGCCCATTCTCATCTTTCAAGTCCTAACAGTTCAAGAGCCTCACATCCCTTTGAACCCAGATTAAATGGATTCTGGAAAACATGCTACTGTGTATGTGGGCTTAATGTTCTCCTGAAGTACAGTGCATCCTGAGCCCTCTTAGACTACCCTTGGCCTATGTATCTCGATAGCTCAATACCAATCTTTGGTCTGTTTATCATCTAAACATGGTGTGTGTGGATGGCTATGTATATATGCATATTTATATATAATTCAGCATGCATATTTGTATCATTTTACTCTCTTGGCAACACATTTCAAGACCTGGCTTTCTCAGCCAAAATGAGTTTCACAATTTAAGTATAATGCTACATGTCTTTCTTGCCAAGTACAGGGGACACATTGAGATGTTTTCTCCCCACTGAGCTCAATCTGCAAGTATTATAGGACATTCCCACTGCAGTGTGATCCTAAAGGAAGAAATACCTAATCTATCGAATCATTCTTGATGGGGTATCAGGAGACATGAGGTCCACTTAATGTCCTTTCCATCAGTATCAGTATTTTAGGAAATATCCCAAATATTCTAGCTTACATTGATGCTGTATGTTCTTTCACATAAAGAGTAAACCTTTTAGATGAACATTTTAAGCTCTTCCCAGTTTGATGGTAACTTAAACTGACTCTTGTTTAAAGTCATTTTTTCATCATTGTTAAATGTGCTTATTAAAAGCATCTTCTAGCCTTGGGGTGCAGTGAACAAATCTGTTCTGGATGTTATTGTTTCTATAGAACCAGCATCCCATCTTCACTTAAGAGCCCATCTTGCTTCCATCTTCCCACTACTTTGGGAAACTTTCCTTTATCTGTGTTTCTTGGCCATCATAATAGGGAAGATGATCCTTCATTATTATTGCTTTTGAAAATGTTCCTGGCATTCTTTATACACTTATTCTTCCATGTAAAATTTAGAATACTTTTTGTAAGTTGTATTCTCCCATAGTCCACCAAAAATGAGATTTTGACTGACACTAATTTCTATTGTTTAAACAACTGAGGGAGAATTGAAATATTCCCATCTTGAATAGTTCCATATTTACCTTGGCAAGGCTCTCCGTTAATCCAAGTCCTATTTTTTTCAAGTTTTATAGTTTCCTCTTTTGCAGACCACTTATTTAGATTATTTCTGTGACTCTTTAAATTTTGTTGCTCTTGTGAACAAGATATTTTCCTTACACATTTTTTAACTGGATGTTATATCTAAGAAAGCTATTAACACGTATATCTTCTAACATTAAATTATGTTGTCAATTCTAAAAGATTTGGTTCATTTGTTTTATGGTTAGGTACAATCACATCATCTGTGTATGGATAATAGTAAAACAAAAAATGATTTGACTCATTTTTTAATATATTTCTCTTATTTTCTCAATAATTATCATTTGTCAAGATGCCTCTCAGACCTTCCTAGTATGAACACATGCTATGCATTCTGTAAGACCCAAGTCAAACACTTTCTCTAGAATGAAGAACACTCCACTAACCTCAACAATAAGTAATATCCTCCTTCTAGAAATCTCCATACTATATTATCTCTCTTAGAGTTTATAGCACTTTTCTTCTCTGTATTGTGCTTTTATATTTAACTTCTCATTTGTATTGGAAGACAGTTCATGTCTTTGCTTTTAATACATTCCCTAAAAATTTGCATAATATATATACGTTTCACTTGGTATATAGAGTTTTCTTTTCAACAAAATGAAGATAACAGTACTTACCTATAAAGTTGTGTTAATAATATTATTATGACATAAATAAATTAATAAAATGAAATAATAAAAATAAAATAAAATATAAAATAATAAAATATTATGACATAAATAAATTAATAAAATAAATAATTATGATTTTCCTTTATAAAATTATGTGACTGTTTCTTCTACATTTAAAACTAATAGTTCCCACCAGTTTGTCTTTTGTGGAAGAGATCTTTGACACTGAGGAGTCATTCCAGAACCATTTACGGTTACACAGGCACTGTACACTTTTCCAGCTTGTTACCTTTTTCATAAGGACAAGCTGTCTATTTTACTAAACAACTAAAATTGTGCCCTTGAGTTCCCTCAAAATGTTTGACTGGGTGCTATGCACAAGTAGTGATTTATCTACTTCAAGTTTATCTATTCATCCACTGGGTTTTCTTAGCATGATTAGATCTAGTACCTCTAAGTTGCCCAATTCAAAGGTATTTTTGGCTTTCACTTACGTCTTTACAGTGTAGACTAAGGCAACTAAATTATTTGGTTTTCCACTATAGCCTTTTTATCCCTTAGTGAACCTTTTATTTAAGGGTCACTGAATGGCGGCGCTGCTTCTCTAGATAACTTACATAAAAACATTGTGTTGGTTACTTTGAAATACCTGCAGAATTACTATTAGTTAACCTTACTGGTCATTTTTCATTTCTAATATGCAGTCACTTACTATACAATATGTATTTCTTTATTCACCTCGCTTTGACCACTCTTCCCCTAAAGTATTATATTTATCACCTGACATAATCATTTGATAGCTTTTTGACATTTTCAAGTCCTTGGTGACCAGTGTCGTATGGTCCCCTTGCCAAGGGTTTCAAGAAGTTTTTCAAATACTCTTTAGGTCTCCTATTTTTCTCTACTTTTGCTTTTTGTAAATTGTATTCTTCTTCTAACTAATGCTATTATGTAGTCAAAGTCTTTTCCATTCTCACATTCCTACAATTACCAGTGACTTAATTACTTGTCTCATTTTGGGAGGAAAGGGTCTCTTATAATGTTTTGCTTTCTGCTTCTCTCATCAGGGTCATGAGTATAGCTGGTGGGTTATGTCCTGTACTGGGTCACCCAGATGAAGGGGCAAATACATCTGAAATCCAATCTGTTTCCTGCTTGCTAAGATGACCTGGACTGTGTCCACTCAGAGTCAAGGGTACCTTTTGCTAATTTACAGAAAGTCATTGTATATGCTAAATGTGATCTTGCCCCTCATCTGGAGACATTTTTAACCAAAAGATAAAAGAATGAAAGGAAGAAAAATGGATGAAAGTAAGAAAGGAAAAAAAAAGGAGGGAAGGAAGGAAGGAAGGAAATGAGAAAGGAAAAGAGATAAATGACTACTCTTTTGAATATTACCTTTTCAAAGGGATTATTTGGGGGAGTGGTTAATAAGTATAATTTGTTGTATTTTCTTTGTGAGCTCTATTACAGTAGAAATGATAATTAAAGAGCTGGGAATATTCCCATAAGTAGATATTTGGGTTATGTGTGTCTCTGCAACTTTGAAACTTTTTTTAGTCACATGTATTGGATTAATTTTTTTTTTTCTTTATGACTTCTCTTTAGGGATCTGATTGTGAAGCAATGTGATTAATTTAAAAATACTGTTTAAAATACATTTTGTTAAATATTTCAATTTTAAGGAAAATTGATTGTCTAATTAAGTACCCTATAATATTTAAAATATCTGCTGAGGCATATGCATAGATACATTTGATATTTTTACAGAAGCCTGCATCATTTAAATAGCTTAATATAGATATATTGATGGCAATAAAACCGTGAGAGTTGATTTCATCATTTGTTCATTAGTAACCATTTTCATATACATCAAAACACTATTAGGGGCTTCCCTGGTGGCGCAGTGGTTGAGAGTCCGCCTGCTGATGCAGGGGACATGGGTTTGTGCCCCGGTCGGGGAAGATCCCACATGCTGCGGAGCGGCTGGGCCCGTGAGCCATGGCCGCTGAGCCTGTGCGTCCGAGGCCTGTGCTCTGCAACGGGAGAGGCCACAACAGTGAGACGCCTGCGTACCGCAAAAAAAAAAAAAACACTATTAAATCATTGATGAGGTTTTTCATTATAGTGACTGATGATAAAGATTTAATAGCTTAATGTGAATATATATCAATGGATGTACTTGGTTCAATTTATTTTTATCAGTGAATGTTACTGACATATAGCACATACAGAAGAGTTTACTCATCATAAATTCAGTGAAGTGTTACAATGTGAACGCACCATGCAATTACCAACCAGATTAAGAGCTAGACCATTACCAGTACATGAGAGACCTGTGTCAGTTCCCTAGCCTATCTAACCCAAAGGGAATCATTACCCTGACACCTGATGTTGCTATTTATAGATTATTTCTATCTATTTATAAACTTTGCTCTTTTGGCTTTTTCATTCATTATTGTTTGTAAGAATCACCTATTGTTGCACGAAGTAGCTGTTCTTTCATTCTCATAGTTTACAGTAGTCTGTATGAATTGTGTATTCTCCTAGAGTGGAATTACTGAGTCACAGGCTATTTCTAGATTCCGTTGTTCTTCCGTCCTCCCTCCCTCCCTCCTTCCTTCCTTCTTTCCTCCCTCCCTTCCTTCCTTCCTTCCTTCCTTCCTTCCTTCCTTCCTTCCTTCCT